TACAGACACAGATACAGACACGAGACACAGACACAGATACAGACGAGACACAGATACAGACACAGAACAGAACGAGACACAGACACAAGACACAGATACAGACACGAGACACAGACACAGACACAACACACAGAACACAGATACAGACACAACACACAGATACAGACACGAGACACAGACACAGACACAGATACAGACACGAGACACAGATACAGACACAGAGACACAGACACAGATACAGACACAACACACAGATACAGACACAGAGACACAGACACAGACACAGACACAACACACAGATACAGACACAGACACAGATACAGACAACGAGACACAAGACACAGACACAGATACAGACACAGAAACACAGACACAGACACAACACACAGATACAGATACAGACACAACACACAGACACAGACACAGATACAGACACGAGACACAAGACACAGACACAGATACAGACACGAAACACAGACACAGACACAACACACAGATACAGATACAGACACAACACACAGATACAGACACAGAGACACAGATACAGACACGAGACACAGACACAGACACAGACACAACACACAGATACAGACACAGACACAGATACAGACACGAGACACAAGACACAGACACAGATACAGACACGAAACACAGACACAGATACAACACAGAATACAGATACAGACACAACACACAGATACAGACACGAGACACAGATACAGACAGGCGACACAGACACAGACACAAACACACAGATACAGACACAGACACAGATACAGACACGAGAGACACAAGACACAGACACAGATACAGACACGAAACACAGACACAGATACAACACACAGATACAGACAGACACAACACACAGATACAGACACGAGACACAGATACAGACACGAGACACAGACACAGACACAGACACAACACACAGATACACAGACACACACACAGATACAGACAACAGACACAAGACACAGACACAGATACAGACACGAGACACAGACACAGACACAACACACAGATACAGATACAGACACAGAACAGACACGAGACACAGACACAGACACAGATACAGACACACGAGACACAGATACAGACACGAGACACAGACACAGATACAGACACAACACACAGATACAGACACAGACACAACACACAGATACAGACACAGACACAGACACAAGACACAGATACAGACACAGACACAGACACAACACACAGATACAGACACAGACACAGATACAGACACGAGACACAAGACACAGACACAGATACAGACACGAAACACAGACACAGATACAACACACAGATACAGATACAGACACAGATACAGACACGAGACACAAGACACAGACACAGATACAGACACGAGACACAGACACAGACACAGACACAACACAGATACAGACACAGACACAGATACAGACACGAGACACAAGACACAGACACACAGATACAGACACGAAACACAGACACAGACACAACACACAGATACAGATACAGACACAACACACAGACACAGACACAGATACAGACACGAGACACAAGACACAGACACAGATACAGACACGAAACACAGACACAGACACAACACACAGATACAGATACAGACACAACACACAGATACAGACACGAGACACAGATACAGACACGAGACACAGACACAGACACAACACACAGATACAGACACAGACACAGATACAGACACGAGACACAAGACACAGACACAGATACAGACACGAAACACAGACACAGACACAACACACAGATACAGACAGACACAACACACAGACACAGAGATACAGACACGAGACACAAGACACAGACACAGATACAGACACGAAACACAGACACAGACACAACACACAGATACAGATACAGACACAACACACAGATACAGACACGAGACACAGATACAGACACGAGACACAGACACAGACACAGACACAACACACAGATACAGACACAGACACAGACACAAGACACAGATACAGACACAGACAGACACAACACACAGATACAGACACAGACACAGATACAGACACAAGACACAAGACACAGACACAGCAGACACGAAACACAGACACAGATACAACACACAGATACAGATACAGACACAGATACAGACACGAGACACAAGACAGACACAGATACAGACACGAGACACAGACACAGACACAGACACAACACACAGATACAGACACAGACACAGATACAGACACGAGACACAAGACAGACAGACACAGACAAAGAAACACACAGACACAGATACAACACACAGATACAGATACAGACACAGATACA